AATTTTGTTTATTTATATTTTTTGGTTTTCTATTTAATTAGTTTCCTCATGCATTGTTATTAATTTTCTTTTCCAGTTTTCTTCTGGGTTATGTTGTTAATCTAGTTAAAATGTCTTATGTTTCAAATATAATTTATTTTAAAATGAACTCCTTGAAAGCTGTGCATTTCCTTTGGTAAACAAATAGCTTTGGCTGTGTCTCTTTGCATATGAATTGTTCATTTTTATCACTTTCTAGATAGTTCTACATAGTTAACTTTTTTTTTCAATTACAGTTGACATACAATATTATATTAGTTTCTGTTGTACACCTTAGTGATTAGACCTTATGAAGTGATCACATTATCAGTTTTAATTTCCTCTTTTTAATATGTTTAACTTCCAAGTAGTAAAAGTTTCATTAATCTCTTTAGTGTTGGTCTCTAGTTAGTTTTATATAAGCTTGTTGATTGTATTTTCTTTTTAAAAAATGTTGTGAATCCTCACCCGAGGATATGTTTTTATTGATTTTAGAGAAAGAGTGAAGCTTTGATGTGAAAAACATTGCTCAGTTGTTTCCCAACCTGGGATTGAACCTGAAACCTTTTGGTGTATGGGACGACGCTCCAACCAACTGAGCCACCCAGCCAGGGCTGATTATATTTTCAAATCCTCTATATCCTTGCTAATTTTTGACTAGTTAATTTTTTTGTTTTTGTTAATCCTCACCCAAGGATATTTTTCCATTGATTTTTAGAGAGAGTGGAAGGGAGGGGGAGAGCCAGAGAGACAGAAACATCGATGTGAGAGACACACCTCGATTGATTGCCTCCTGCACATGCCCAACCAGGGCTGGAGATGGAGCCTGCAACTGAAGTACATGCCCTGGACCAGCATTGAACCCCGGACCCTTCAGTCCATGGGCTGATGTTCTATCCACTGAGCCAAACTGGCTAGGGCGGACTACTTAATTTTTGAAAAACTATTAGCATCTTCCACTATAAGGGTGTTTTTATGCAGTTTCAAGTCTTGCTTTATGTAATTTGATTTCTATAGATATTTGACATATCATCTTCATAAGTGTACCTTTAACAGACCATCTGTTTATGTTCTCTTTAACACTTGATCTTGAATTCAGCTTTGTCTGATATGTTTTCTATTTTGACAGTTCTTTCTTATCTCTTACCTTACAGATATCAGTCATGTTATAATCTATTTAGACATAAGGCTATTTTCCATGATTTATTGCTACTGCTATTTCTTATCATTTCATCTTTCCCCATTTGACATCTCTGTGCTGAATAAATTGTCGTGTGATTGATGGATACTTCATGTTTGTGCTTCCACATCTGGTATGTGGGTGTATATTCTTTCAGAGGCCTTGGCTACTTCCAAATAACTACTTTTGCCTGGACAAATGGTAACTTAGTTGGGAGGTAGAAATTTTTGGTCACAATCCCTTTTCTTTCTCAGTTTATAGATGTTTCTGTTTTTTTCCAACTTCATTGTTATGAGAAGTCTGATACTAGTCTTATTCTCTTGTGTATTTTGCCTCTTCCTTTATTTCTTAAAGTTTACGTGATTTTTTTCTTCATCTTTGGAATTGAAAAAGTTCACTAGGATCTATCTAGGTGTGTGTGTGATTTTAATCAGATTTGGGATTTGTTATTTGTTGAACCCTTTCTTCCTAAGGGGTCAAGTCTCTTAAGCTGAAGGAAATTTTCTTAAATGATGTGTGTAATTATTACTTCTCCAACTGGCATTTTGCTTCTTTGGGCATTCCCATAATTCACATATAAGATCTGGATTTGTCTTGTCATCATAAAATGGTACGGAGAAGAAAGAATCCCTTCCATCCCACACCCCAATGTGTGATCATTATTGTGCTGAGAATTTTAAATGCTTGAAATCAATGTCTCTTGAAGAAAACAGCAAGAGAGTGATAATGTCTGTACATATGCAGCTTGTCCTGATGGAGAAACAGGGCTCCTGATTTATTTCTCTCTAGTACTAGTAGAAGGAACTTCAGTCAGAAGTTACCTGTCACAGAATAACAGCATTCTAGGTACCTCCCCCTTTTAAAAATATTTTTTTATTGATTTTGAGAGAGAGAGAGAGAGAGAGAGAGAGAAGCATTGATGAGAGAGCAAAACATCCACCAGCCGCCTCCTGCACCCCCCCTCACCCCTCACCCCCCCCCCCCTCACTGGGGATCAAGCCCACAACCGGGGCATGTGCCCTGACCGGGAATTGAACCATGATCTCCTGGTTCATAGGTCAATGCTCAACCACTGAGCCATGCCAGCCAGGTGGATGTTGAGCATTTTTCATGTGCTTGCTCACCAGTTGTATATCTTCTTGGGAGAAGATGAAATCCTTTGCCCATTTTTAATTGGACTGTCTTATTATTGAGTTCAAAGAGTTCTTTATGCATTCTGGATAGCCGTCCCATGACTTACTATAATTTAAAAATAATTCTTATATTTCCTAGGGCAAGTCTACCCATTTTTTTGTTTTCCAAGGGTGTCTTGGTTTTCTCCGTCCTTTGCAATGGCAAGAGAACTTACCATGTGCTTACAAAGATATCATAACATTTTCCTTTAATCTTTTTTTTTTCTTTTAACCTTATGGTATCACCATGCCTTATCAAGCATGTCAAACTCAACGGCTAACACGGGCCAAATAAACAAGGTTTAAGTTTATGTGGGCCGCAAATAAAACCCAAAAAGCAAAAGCTTCAATTTTCATAGGTTTATTTTAATAGAGACATGCTGAATACAAAGGGCTGAAATAAATGAGTAATCGTTAATGAGTATGCGTTGTGGGCCGCAAGTTTGACATGCTTGCCTTAGATTAATCTTTTTTTAAAATATATTTTATTGATTTTTTTACAGAGAGGAAGGGAGAGGGATAGAGAGTTAGAAACATCGATGAGAGAGAAACATTGATCAGCTGCCTCCTGCACACTCCCCACTGGGGATGTGCTGGCAACCCAGGTACATGCCCTTGACCGGAATCCAACCTGGGACCCTTGAGTCCACAGGCCGACACTATCCACTGAGCCAAACCGGTCAGGGCTAGATTAATCTTTTGTAAGCAATATATAAGCAAATTTAAAAAAATCAATACTACAATCTTAGTCTTTTAACTGTAATTGTTTTATCAGTGATATATTTAATATTTACCCAACCTGCTGTATGTTTTTTACATTTATTATAAAAATTTCAAGCATAAACAAAAAGTCAGAATAGGATAACAGACCCCTGTTTACCCATTATCCAGATTCGATAATTATCAACATTTTTGCCAATCCCTTTTCATCTATCTCTCCCCTCCCATTTTATGCTGGAGTGCTTTAAAAGTAAATCCTGGATATCATATAGTTTCATAGATAAATAGCCAAGTGTGCTTCTCAAACAGATGGCATTTAAATTAAATAGAACTACCACGCCATCATCAGATGAAGAAACATTTACAGTAATTACTTATCATGTATTATTGAATCCATATTCAAATTTCTCTAATTGACTTTTATTCTATAAGAGTTCTTCACTCACTCACCCACCTTTTTCTTTATGAAATTGATTATTCAGAGAAACCAGGCCTTTTGTAATATAGAATATCTCACAAATTGTATTTGTTTGCTTCCTTGCAATGCCATTTAACTTGTTCTTCTATCGCTCATATTTCTTGTAATGGGGTAGTTAGATGTCAAGCCTTGATTAGGCTCATATTCAATTCTTTTGGCAAGAAGACTTCATAGGTGATGCTGTATGCTTCATATTGCATCACATCATTAGGCACAGAAGATCTGGTTTTTCCCACCTTTGGTGATGCCACGATTGTTGAGTAAATTTAGATGCATATTTCATCTACTTACTTGCTTAATTTTATATTTATTGTTTTTTACTACCCCATTTCCCCCCTTCTGTTAGTCTGCAGATTAAAAGAAGTTTCTTTTACCATTTTAATGCCCAGCCAGCATGGCTCAGTGGTTGAGCATCGACCTATGAACCAGGAGGTCAGGGTTCGATTCCCGATTCCGATCAGGACACATGCCCAGGTTGTAGGCTCGATCCCCAGTGGGGGGTGTGCAGGAGGCAGCCAATCAGTAATTCTCTCTCATCATTGATGTTTCTATTTCTCTCTCCCTCTCTCTTCCTCTCTGAAATTAATAAAAATATATTTTAAAAAATAATGGTTACTCTGGACATTACAACATGGTTCCTGAACTTATCAAAGTCAAATGTTAATTGGTACTTTTACATTTCTCTGAGAAAATGTAAGGACTATAGAACACCTTAACCACATTAGCTCCTCCAATTTAAATGCTACTGTTGTCACACATTTTAATTCTCTCTGTTTTAAACCGTCTAAGACATTACTATTTTTTTTATATATATTTTATTGATTTTTTACAGAGAGGAAAGGAGAGAGATAGAGAGTTAGAAACATCGATGAGAGAGAAACATCGATCAGCTGCCTCCTGCACATCTCCTACTGGGGATGTGCCCGCAACCCAGGTACATGCCCTTGACCGGAATCGAACCTGGGACCTTTCAGTCCGCAGGCCGATGCTCTATCCACTGAGCCAAACCGGTTTTGGCGACATTACTATTTTTAGTATATGAGTGTTCATTTTTACCCACATATGTACTGTTTTTGTTGCTCTTCTTTTCTCTGATATGTTCTCTGTTATCATTTTTGTTCTGCCTGAAGAATACTCTTTAGAGTTTTCTTTACTACAGGTCTATTGGTGGCAAATTTTCTCAGTTGTCTAAAAATGTCTTTGTGCCCGGCCCGGGCCGGCCCCGCTGGCTCAGCTCAAAGTTTGTGGCCGCCCCTCGCCCGCAGATGTCTGGGTAATATACTGCGGCGGCGGCGGGCGAGGGGCGGCCATATTTGCTGGTGCGGCCCGACCGGCGACGACCGGCGACAACAAAAAGTGCGCGGGAGCTCGGTGGACGGGCGCACGGACTCCGGACCTGCCTCGCCGCCGCCCGGCCTCGCCGCCTCCGCCGCCTCGCCGCCCGGGGGGATGTCTTACAAACCGAACTTGACCGCGCACAGGCCCACCGCCTCCCTCAGCGCCGCTGGGAGCGTCCACCCGCCTTCCACCAACATGGCGACGTCCTCCCAGTACCGCCAGCTGCTGAGTGAGTACGGACCACCATCTCTAGGCTACGCGCAGGGAACCGGGAACAGCCAGGTGCTCCAGAGCAAATATGCTGAGCTGCTGGCCGTCATCGAAGAGCTGGGGAAGGAGATCCGACCCACGTACTTGGGCAGCAAGAGCGCGATGGAGAGACTGAAACGAGGCATCATCCACGCGAGAGGGCTGGTTCGGGAGTGCTTGGCCGAGACGGAGCGGAACGCCAGGTCCTAGCCTCCGAGTCAGCGCGAAGGCTTTCCATCTTCTTCCCAGAAGTGACAGCTCATGCCCCCTATTCAGATGAATCTTGGTTTCAAAATGGTAACAGCTTGGTTTCTCCTCCCCGCCCCTCCCGTGGTTCGTCAGGCTCCGAACCTCCCGTCGCTGAGATGGAGATTTTCGCAGTTATTAGGTTTATATGTTAGTTAGGAACTACCCAGGGCGTTCTGTGTTTTTTTTAAGCATTGATTTACATGATGCACGTCAGTTACCTATCACCGCAAACCGTAGTTGGCCTCCCAGATACCGGTGTTTCTCTTCTGGATGCATTTCTGTTACGTGGTTCTTTGTTTCTCTTCTGAGCTGATCCAGCTCTGAGGGTTTGTTTCAGAGTCCTGCCGCAGCGCTTTAGTGGCCAGCGCTTTCACCACACACTATAAATTCTGCTCAGTGTAACTTTTTTTTCTTTTTTGCTTAAGCATTTGCATGACTATTAGTACTTTGAAGTCCATCTATAAAATGCACAAGTTATAAATACAGAAGAAAGAGCAACTTACCGAACCTCAACCTCCAACCTCGCCTGACAAGGACCCCTGAAATCTTCCCTAATGATGTATGTAGACTTCAGTTCCGCCTTTCCCATCAGTGGATCCAAACATCTGGAAGAAAGTGACTAATACTGTTTGCATCTTTGTATGTATTTATTACTTGATGTAATAAAGCTTATTTTCATTAACAACTGGAAAAAAAATGTCTTTGTATCATATTTGTTCTTGAATGATGTGTTTGCTAGATATAGAATTCTAGGTTGGCAGTTATTTTCATCTAAATTGACAATCTCTTTTTATATGTACATTTACTTTATCTATTATAGGCACTTAGATTATTTTTATACCTTGGCTATTGTGAATAATGCTTCAATGAACCTGGGAATACAGATATCTCTTTGAGATACTGATTTTGTTTCCTTTAGATATATACCTATAAGTGGGATTGCTGGGTCATATGGTAGTTCTACTTTTAATTGTTTTTTAGAAACCTCCATACTCTTTTTCATAATGTGTGCACCAATTTACATTCCCACCAAGAATGTACAAGGATTCCCTTTTCTCTACATCCTCACCAGCACTTCTTTTGTCTTTTTTTATAATAGCCTTTCTAACAGGTGTGAGGTGATAATTCATTGTGGTTTTGATTTGCAGTTCCCTGATGATTTGTGATGTTGAGCACCTTGTCATGAATCTGTTGGTCATTTGTATGTCTTCTTTGGAGAAAAATGTCTATTCAGGTTTTTGTCTATTTTTAAGTTGGGTTATTGGTTGTTTTGCTATTGAGTTGTGTATATACAAGTTCCTTGTATATATTGGCTATTAACTCGTTATCAGATATGTGGTTTGCAAATATTTTCCCCTATTCCAAAGGTAGCAACATTTTGTTGATGGTATCCTTTGCTATACAGAAGTTTTTTAGGTTGAGGTAGTCTCATTTGTTTATTTTTGCTCTTTTTTGCCTGCGCTTTTGGTGTCATATCCAAAAAGTCATTGCCAAGACCAATGTCAAAGAGCTTTTCTGTGTTTTCATCTAGGAGTTTTATGGTTTCAGGTCTTACATTTGTCTTTTTATCCATTTTGAGTTAATTTTTTCTGTGTGGAATAAGGAGTAGGTCAAATTTCAATCTTTTGCATATGGATATTCAGTTTTCCCAACACCATTTATTGAAGCAGATTAATAATAGCCAAAATTTGGGAGCATATGGGAGGCAGCCAATCAATGTTTTTTTCTCTCTCCCTCTTTTTCTCTCTCTCTAAAACACACACACACACACACACACACACACACACACACACACACCATATCCATGGGTGAGAATTTAAAAAGTTTTTTTTTAAGATAAAAGGTTTTTATTCAAAAAACACCATATGTGTGTGTGTGTGTGTGTGTGTGTGTGTGTATCTTTTATTCCCCTGTACAGTATTTCACTCAGATAAAATCAGCAGGCTACGTGCTGCTCAAAACACAGCCCCAGAGAGGATCTGGAAGGCACATTGTCCAGAACTGGTTTTCCGCTATCTACCCTATATACACAAGTCAGCAACTCTCCTCCCCACGAACCCACCCACTTGGGTAAGCAGGCGAGAGGGGCCTGCAGCAGTCCCGCCTGAGCCCCATCACCCTAAGAACAGAGCAAGTGTGGTAGCCCTCCCCCAAAAGGTCCCCAAGTTCAAGGAGGAAAAGAAAACTATGGCAGCAGCCGTGGAAGCTTGGGGCTGAAGGGAACCAAATAAATACATACATACATACATACATAACGTTGACCTCCAGGCTAGAATGCGCATCTTTCAAAAAAAAAAACACAAAACAACAAACAAAAAACAAAACAAAACCAAAAAAGAAACAACAGGTAAAATAACTTAAAGGCAAAAATTTTTTTAAATTAGATCAACTACAATCCTTTTGTACACTATCATGCCAGCTGTACACACATTTAGTTTTTCTGTTGATTTGCATTGTTTGTGCGTTGTGTGTGTGTGAGGTCTTGGCTTTGAAACAGTGAAGTAAAAACCAAAAAGGAAGACCAGAAAAAGGGCAGGTGGCTCAGCGTTTGGCCCTGTAGCCTCTTCCATGGCACCTTTCACATGAAGGATGGGGAGAAGGGGGCGGGAGAGAAAAACAGGGAAAACCAAACCCGGGCAGATTTTTGGAGAAGCAGCAGGTAAAAGAGGCAAGTTCAAGTATTTCTCCCAGCGCAGCCGGAGTCCCCACAGAAGACACTCAGAAGAGTCAAGGGAGAGGTGACAGGGACTTAAAAAATGGTGCTAGTCCTATCCCACCCCAACCTGTTTTCCCCTAACCTGACCATCACGACATTCAGTGAAGGGAACAGTTCCATGACAGGGTTCTGACCCCCAGCCCCCTCCCCACCCCACCCCCGGGATTTTACAGAGTCCAGCAATGCTGGCTGCACACCTATGAGAAGGAGAGAGCATCTATGAGGAATTGAGGCCTAGGACACCCAGAGGAATTTCTTGTCCCCTGTCCGAGGCCGCCTTCAGGGGCCTGGGGTCTGGAATGAGTTGTAAATGTTGTTCATTGTGCTGCTTGGTGAGAAGTGTCACTGGTACAAAAGCTTCCCCTCCCTGGACCATCTGCCAGGAGGGGAAGACCTGCTGGAAAGGCTGTTATTTGCTGGGCCCTGGCGACAGGCTCTGCCGTGGTAGCGATGGTAGCGGATCCACTCTGGAGGACTATACACTCGGGTCCCGTCAAAGTCCATGTAAACGGTGCCCTTGAGCAGCGCCCCCGACCCGAAGTCGATGAGGATGTTCTCGTCCTTGATGTCGCGGGGAAGCACCCCGCAGCTGCGGGCCGGCTCCTCCTGCAGGCCGCCCCGCCCCCCCACCTCCGTGATGAAGTCGAAGAGGTCCTGCACCGGCTCGGGCCTCTCCAGGATCAGAACGAAACTGACGCGCCTCTCGAACCAGCCCAGGAGCCGAGTGACGCCCGAGAAGCCCGAGCTCACCTTCTTCAGCAGGACCATTCCATGGGCACCCCGGTTCCCTTGGGCAGCTCTCCGCAGTCAGAAATCCTCCGGTCCTTCCCCACGTGCTTGATGGCCACCGGCAAGTGGGCGACCACACGGACGCCTGAGTAGACGGAGCCAAAGCCGCCGCTGCCCAGTAGCGGGCCCACCTGGTCCTGCGGCTCCAGGGGCTCCTTCTCCTCGCCGGGCGCCAGCTTGGTGGGGTGCAGGTCGTTGCAGGGCGCGGCGCGCAGGTGGGCAAGTGAGTTGCTTTTGGACAAGAGCATCCCACCCTCCAGGGTGTCGGCCAGGGACTGCCTGGAGCCTCTGCCGCAGGAGCCGGGACGGGCTGCGCCTATGGCTGGGCTCAGTGGGCTCAGGCTGCGGCTGGCGATGCTGCTGCTCCAGCCGCCGCCGCCACCACCGCCAACTCCTCTCCGGCCTCGGCCCAAAAAGTTTGAAAAAAATTAAAAAATTTTTTAAGGTAAAAACACACATCATGTGATGACTTCTTTCAGCTTTTCTAAATTTGAAAAAGTCTCCATTTCCCTTCATTTTTGAAAGACATTTTCACTTGGTATAGAATTCTAGGTTGATTTCTTTGAATACTCTAAAGATGTTTCTTCACGGTCTTCTTGCTTGCATTGTTCCAAAGAGAAAAGTGCTGTTTTTCTGTTGTGATTTTTTTTATTGTCTAGCTGCTTTTAAGATTTTCTCTTGATCACTGGTTTTGAACAATATGATTTTGATGTGCCTTGATATATTTTTTCTCATGTTTTTCATGCTTGGGATTCATGGAGCTTCTTGGATCTGTGAGTTTATAGTTTTCATCATATTTGGAAAATTTGGGGCTATTATTAATCTGTTATTTATCCTATTCGGTATAATTTCATCTCAGACATTGTAATTTTCATTCCTTGAAGCTCAATTTGGGTCTTTTAAAGAATACCTTCCATGTCTTAACTTTTTTGAGTATATGAAATACTCTTATTACTCTTTTAATGTTCCTGCCCACTCATTCTAACATGTGTGTCATTTGGAGGTTGGTTTGATCGATTGATTCCACCTCCCTCATTTTGGGTTGTACATTCCTGCTTCTTTGCTTGCCTAGTAATTTTTTAAAAATTCTCGCCCAAGGATATGTTGTGTGTGGGGGAGGCTTTTTTATTTTAGAGAGAGAGGGGAGGAGAGAGAGAGAGAAACATTGATTGGTTGCTCCCTAACCGGGGATTGAACCCACAACCTAGGGATGTACCCTGACCAGGAATCCAACCCTCAAACTTTTGGTGCATGGGACAGCAATGCAACCTGGCCAGGGCGGCATGCCTGGTCATTTTTAATTGGACACCAGACATTGTGAATTGTACTTTGTCAAGTGATGGATAATTTTGTAGTTCTTTTTAAATTTAAATTTTTCCATCACCATTTATCTAATGTATTTCTATAAACATTCTTGAGCTGTATTCTGTGACACAGTTAAGTTACTTGGAAAACAATTGGATCCTTTCAGGTCCTGCTTTTCAGATCTGTTACATAGAACCAGAACAATGTTTAGTCTAGGGTTAATTATCTCCATAGTTGACCTAAGATTCTTCTGAGTCCTCTGCCAAATTCCCTGTGAATTTTGAGTTTGTCCAGTCTGTTTAGTGGGAACAGGCAGTATTCTTGGCCCTGGTAAACTCTGAGTACTAGTACTGTTCCCTCTAATCTCTTCCCGTGGTTGTTTCTCTGGCCTTGGGCATTTTGTAACATAACCCTATTGAGTTCTCTGCTAAATACTCAAGGGGGGCCCCCTGCAGATAGCTGGAGTCCTCTCTTTTGCAGGTCTCTCCTCTCTGGAGCTCATTCCTGCAGATTCTAGATATTTTGATCTCAGATTTTCAGCTTCCTCAATTCGAGGAGGTTGCCAGTCTATCCCTGGATTCCCCTTCCCTGCACTGTGACCTCAAAACCTAAGGCAGTAGTTGGGATGATCCTAAGGCTCACCTTGTTTGTCTCCCAGCTTTCCCCATTATTGTCATTTGTTGCCCTAATGTCTAGTGTCTTGTAACCCAGTGTTTCATAGATATTTTTCTCATCTTTTGGTTGTTTCAGTGGGAGGGTAAATTTGATCCTCTTACTCCATCTTGGCCACAATCCTCTTAATAATTTCTGATGGGAGTGTTTGACATTGTGTATGAAAAATTACGGAGATAATTTGATTCTCTGTAAAGTGTTAT